TGAACACAGACTTTTTTAGGAACACATATGGAAGCATTTCATTGAGAACAATCCTAAATCAGAATTAAAGCTGACTGATAACTGATATAGAATCAACTAAGAGCTTAGTTCTGTCACTTAGAACTTCGTAGTGTCTGCTCAGAAGTACACGGCAGCTTTATGTCCATGTCGGTTCTAACATTGGATAAACTTCCACTAACTGTGTGCACACTTTGATCTTCATGCCCACTTCCCTTACGGTGGGCCCCGATGTCGGCGGAGACATTTCTCTGACACTCCTCCGTGGGCCACCGGGACTCAGAAGAGTGGGCCATCCCTCAACCAGAAGATGGGCGGTCCAATCCCCAAGTCGACGTTCCCAGGAAAGACAGCAACTGCTGAGTCATCGCTGTGTTGAATGTCACATGGTCCAGATGAGCAGGTAGCCCCTTCCATCACTTATGGACTGGATGTCAATGAGTGAATGACATGTTGCTCCATGGACTATTTACCATGCCTTATATATATGAGCCGGAACACTGTGTTCACCGCTAGTGTCTATATCAATGTGTCCTCGGCAAGACACTTACCCTGAATAGCTCCGCTGTGACTACAGTGTGTAAATGTTAGTGACTGATGGGCGTGTATGGTAGCCTCTGTGTGAATGGGCAAATGATGACGTGTAGTGTTAAAGAGCCGTGCTTGGTTGAAAGACTAGCAAAGAGACATCCGTACAAGACATAGTCCATTTACGTTGTGCTATTATTATCAGCTCATCAAAGTGAGTCGGAATGAAGGTGACTCAACGTCATAATGAAAGTCTCTCCAAGATGGCTCCTCCTGGACAGGAACGCCCAGCTCCACTCTCAGAGACCCCGGCGCTGACGGAGGTACTCCTCCGCCGGCCGAGGTGAATAAGGAATGCACCGGGGGAGAGGGAGGGAATGTACCACAGGGGTGTTGAGGAAGGGGGTGGGGAGGCAGCGGAGGCAACACAGAGGGGGGAAACAGAGGGGTCTTTTGTGAGACAGGAAGCTGCTGAGACCAGGGCCCTCTCTTGGGTACAGTAGAGGGGCAGAGAGAGGCCCGGGATGTGAGAAGAGATGTGACTGAGGGGATGAAGACGAAGAGAGCTCAGTAAGGACAGGAAGACACCCGGGAGATGGTGGAAAGCGGGACGAGGGGCGGAACAAGTGCAGGAATACGCCGTAAAGGGGAAAAATGGTGGCTTAAAAAAAGTCTTTCTAAAACTTGGGATGGATTAAGGTGATCCCACTGGAGTGAAATACAACAACCGTAATGAAGCACACCCAACCACCAAAGCTGCTTTCCTCCCATTATGGTGTTGATGAAGCTAAAAGCCATGTGTGTAAGAGTCATCACACACACACACACACTGATGGAAGTGGACTAACCCTGATCCCATGGTGGTGGACCCTTGGCTCTACCTCCAGAGACACAGACGCCTCTAAACTCTGTAATTCATGGATCTAACCGTGCTGTGACTATTTAGACAAACTCTTAGCAGGTTAATTAAAGACAGTGACAGAGTGACAGGAGGGACGCACAAATCATCAGATATGGACTCAAACAGCTGGAACTGGTATCAGGGACAGCAGGCCAGTCAATCACTCACTTTATATTATTTTATATATATTTTCTCATTGTTTAATATTTTGACCAATTGTCTGCTTTATTGAAAGGCTTTGACTTAAATTTAAAGTCCTGTCAGTTCTGAAGTTTTTATCTCAGTCAGAAAAGTTAAAGGAACAATCTTTTCTGCACTTCTCTGATATCAGGTCAGGTGAGTAGCAGAAGGGGTTCTTGGTGGTGGAATTAACAACAGGTGCACTAGAGAGGCAACAATGAGGCGACCCAAAAAACTGTTTTCCATGTGGAGGCCAGTTTCTCCCTCTTGATCTCTTTGACTGGTTTTCCACTAGTGTTGGTTTTAGCTAGAGTCATCAACACTACTGGGACCATGAGGACATTTCTTAACCCTACAGAAGAAAGTTTAAAGAGATTTGATGTGTCTTCCAGCACAATCCCCAGAACATGGAGGAGATTCCAGGAGACAGGCAGATTCTCAAAGAGAGCAGGACAGGGCCGTTGAAGGTCCTCACGTCCAAGCACTGTGGAGCACCATTGGCATTTGCTATATAGAACTGGCATGTCCCCCACTGGCGCCCTGTGCTTTTCACAGATGAGAACAGATTCACCTTGAGCACCTGTGATAGACGTGAAAGGGTCTGGAGAAGCCAAGGAGAACGCTATGCTGCCTGCAACGTGGTCCAGCATGACCGGCTTGGTGGTGGCTCGGTGATGGTCTGGGGAGGCGTATCCATGGAGGGACGCACAGACCTCTACAGGCTAGAGAACTGCCATTAGACATCGGGATACAATTCAGAAGCATTTTGAGTTAGAATAGAATTTTGGCAAAATGGACAAGCCTGCCTCATCATTTTTTCAGTTTGACTTTTGGGGTGTCTATAAAAATACAAAAACATTTTACTATTGTTTACATCAAAGGATGTGGCATCCTTTCATTGCTAAGACATTAAACTGTCCATATCAGTATATCCAATAAAAACATTAACAAATGTGTTTTTCAAAGAGTGTATTTATAATCTGAATATGCCCAACACTGGCAGGTTCCCTGAGGTCTCATTTGAGCTACAGCGGCCCACATGACATACATGTGGCGTGATACTTCTGGGTGGTGAATGTGCAATATGAACGCCTAACACAACAAACACAACTGGGGAGCCATCGAGGTCATGGACCCCCCAACTGCTTCAGGAGCTGCTCACCAACCAACAGGTGCGACTGTGGTTGTACAGAGCTGCGTCCATGCGGATGAATACCACAGGAATATGACATGTAATTTGCAGGCACGATACAAAAGTGGAAGCTGCACTGACTATGCTGTTGTCACTGTGTCACTGTGATATTGTGTTGATTCTTTAACATGCAGATGCACAGTATCAAACACACCATTGTCATCATACAAAGAGGCAGCAACAATCTCCTGCTTCCTTTTCTTCTTCATACGTCATGCTAAGGACTTTTGCAGTAACGGTAAAAGGCCGAATTCAGAGTAAATCTGAACCGTTTCCATCTTAACATGCCCAGCTGCGTCCTTCTGAGACGTTTCCTTCAGCGCATCTCTCAGCCTCACTCATCCTCCACGTTGCCTTGATTAGAGAGCAAGGACAGAATGATATACTTCAGTAGGACCCGTTTCTCAGTTTCACCCAGATTTAGCCGCTCTCTAAGTGTAGCCTGGCTCACAGTCGGTCTGCGTGTACCGAAGCGCTAGCATATGATTACAGAAAGAACATGGGGACGGTGGCTGACCGGTAATTTGGCTTCCCTAAATGTTGTCGGAGTCATTCCAGTCTCTTCCCGTCCCCACAGGCTGGGCTTGGACGACACAATGAAGAGACACTTTTACCGTATGACATGGCTGGATTTGCTAAATCCCACAAACAGAAGCTGCCAGCCATCATTCAAGGCACTTTGATCCGGCATGGAAGCAAAATAAATAAATGCCAATAGTTTATGGAATTGAGGTGAACAGGAGATAACTGCTGTTAAAAAAAAGTGCAGCTTTGAAGTTGTGTGTTTAGATAATTCCTTTTAGAACAGAAGATAACAGCGAGCAGCACACAGCGTGCCCTCCATTTCGGTATTTGACCATGCACACATGCTCAATGAAGCTCTGTCTTGTTTCTTCACACCTCGGGTTGGTGTGTGTGTGTGTGTGTGTGTGGGGCCACACACAGAAGCCATCAAAGCGGCTCCCTTGATTGGTGCACAGTAATAACATTCACCCGGTGAAAACGGACCTTCGTCAGGCAGGAATTGAGGGAGAATCTGACCCTGGATATAAAAGGTGTCTTTCTGCAGCGCTCGCCCTCACCCGCACGCCAGAGGGAGTTGGGATAAGAAAACCGAGGGAGAGGACGGGAGGGACGAGTTAGAGCCAGAAGGAGACTGTGGAGAGAGATTGAGAGGTAACAGGGAGGATGGGGGGAGGCAATGTTGAGGAGGGAATATTAAGGCTGCAACAAAGAGGAGGAAGAGAGAGCAAGAGGCCCAGTGGAATATAGTTATAGAATATAGTATAAATAATCGTTTTGCTTTGAATTTAACTAAATGTCATGATTGCATTCTGTGTCTCTGTGCTCGTCATTAAAAATAAAAAGACAACTTTGAGCTGAAGTAGTATCATTCAGCTGGTGGAGATCTTGTGACTGAATAATCCTGAACAGAAGTCTGATTGTGCACGTTCCCCCTGCTGGCAGCTGCCAGCCTCGGCACATCGGAGAGGACACACGTCTGTATGCCTGACACGCCGGTCTTCTAGGAGATGGCGGTCGAAAACAATAGTTTAATAAATGCTATTAAACGCTGTAACAGCTGCTCAGATCCCATTAGTGTGCATTTAATATTTCATCTACTGTTGAATCCTTTCACTCCTCTCAGTAAGCAGAACTCCAACTGCAGCCACAGGCTTTACAAATACATGTAATAAGAGTGGGGGGGGGGCTCTTTCCTGTGGGTCACGTCAGGTGTGGAATGGTGGACGGGTCTCTGGACGTCCCAAGTCAGAGGACACACGGACACACTCACACCCACATTCCAGCCTGTGGCCGAGGGAACAGCAGCTCAGGGACATTTACCTACACACACGTGCTGCTCCTCTGCTTCCTGATTGGCCGAGGTGCGTCGGCTGGCGATGGAGCAGTAGGAGACCCGGGTTGATGAGACGCTGAGGAGGACGAGAGGTCAGTGCTCCCTCTAGAGGTGGAGATCTGGGACAGCGGAGGACCGGGGCCCTGCGGTCCTGCTGGACTGAGGAGCTCGCCGCCGCTGCCCCAAGACGCCGTGGGGGTCCAGTTCAGGCCGTCAGACTCATGGACACGGAGGGGGCGGCTTATGTGGAGCCTTGAGGAAATGAGTGCTCTGTAATTCTAAACCCAAGGTTTGTTTAAGATGCACTTACATCTTGCAATGTCTGAAATTACTAGCTTTTTTCTTTAATAATCACTTTGAAACACTTCAGTATACACATACAGTATTAAGAGTACTCAGACATGATACAACAAGGAGAGACCGGATCCAGAAATAATCACTGATAAAAGAACCTCTGTCTTTTTTTTCTTTCAATCCCTAAAGCACAAAGAAGTCGATGGCTCCATGATGATGGAGAGGGATACAGACAGGACACACAGAACAGAACCACTCGGGTTTTACACCTCATGAACTTGTTTAATACTTTGTAAAAAACAAAAGAAGAACAGCGTCGTTGGTGAAGAGGGAGACAGGAAACAAGACCAATAAACAGTGTGTGGGTTCTTTCAGGATGAAGAGTAAATAATTAAAGAAGATTCTAGATGGACCAGGGAAAGGTTTTTTTCTCTTTTTTCAGGAAACAACCGAACAAACGCACGGAAGAACAGGGCCACTCCTTCTGAGTGCGTTTCCCCGTGTTGAGGGAACCAAAGCAGCCACATCCGCCAACAAGCCGGCAGTCATCCATGAACCGGCGGGCGCCGGTTTCAAGGCTGCCTGGTTGAAAACAGCGGGACGGGCTCTGTGTCAATAGGTCAAAATGCCGCCCCGACACCTAGTCTCTACGCATTGGTTGATTAGTCAGTCACAGCCTGTATCCCATAGCAACAAACAAAAGAAACGCATGTTTAAGACAGCTACTCATTTCAAAATGTAACAAAGATGGAAACATCTGCGACTCAACGGAATCGCTTCCTCGCGCCTCTAAAATGATCCTCACGCAGTAAGAAAAAAAGAGCTTCACATCCTTTTTCAAACGGAGAAACAGAGTTCTTTCTCCAGGTCCGTGGTGCTGAGCGTTTGCCGAGGTGAAGCAGTGGAGGAGGCCGGCTTTGTGTGGATGAAGCTTCAGGTCAACACCTCAGCTTCTCCTCTGTGCATTCGATTCGCTCAACAAACCAAACAAACAGCGCTCAACACATCAGCACCAGAGCAACGGGATCGGCCAATCAAACGGATTCACTACACACGTTCATGGAAGCATACACATGTAGCCACACACACACACACACACACACACACGCACACACACTACAATAAATGCTCAAAATAGCATCCGCCAACCACCAGGTGGAGCTAAAACATCATCAACGTCTGTTTATCATCCACTAAGCTCAAAGCGCATTGGCGCAGCTGGAGGAATGGGAATCCTGAATGTTCTCACTGCCAATTCAAGTCAACTTGTAACAGAGTTAATTAAAACAGAACAACAATGTGCAACTGTTTACCACAATATGAATCAACAAGTTGCATGTCCTTCGGCTTTGATTGGTATCTGCTCAGCGGAGTTCCACACTGGTATTCTTCTTCCCTCCAGCACTCGACTGGTTGTGTAGTCGTTCCAATCTCCAGCTTAGACATTCAGAACAGGAAGCTCCACAGAAATGTAGCGCGTCCTGAAGTCAGCCTCCTCCCTGAGGGGGGAGCGACTGACCTGTCTGAGGACAGCGGGTCAGGAGGCCCCATCAGGCTGTTCTTTACCAGCCTCCACCAGAGAGAGGCGGCCACACAAAAACCTACACCACCACCAAAGTCTTTAGGTTAGACCACCGTACTGACACGTTAAACAAAGCCACCTGTCTGACAGGCCATCTAACGGTCCGCCTCCGAGTCCGCATCACATGGGGGGAGGCCACGGCTGTGAGAAGTATTTGGACTATCTGCAGGGCAGGAAGCGCGTTGCTCGTCGTGGTCGAAGCAGCTGCTTTCGTTGCCTAAGTGCTTTCTGAAATACAAAAACAAACAGTGGCTGCGTCTGGAGGAGCACCAACACTGATCACACACCGCCAGAATGCACAAGCACAGCTGGTGTTCCTCTCCCATCGGAGGGAACGATAAAAGAAAAGAAAAAGAAAGGGGGACTTCTACATCTTCAGCACACCTGTTGGATGGGGAATGGCTGACGGATTTGTCTGAGTACTTGCATAAGGTTTGCATTGATGTAAACGTGCACGTCTTAAACTATATTTGTTATTTAGCACCTGGTAGAGGACAGCTGTGCCTCTTTCCCGTAGAATGACACTGCATGTACGATGGCTAGTGACTAAATACACCTCAGAACAGAAGAGCTTTTAAATACTAAATAAGCACGTCAGAAATCTTTGTGCACGCCAGCACTGCTCCTCTCTCAGCGTGTCGACTAATTCAGAATAGATTTCTTTATGTGCTACTTGCACTTGACTTTCCTCTGCGATGCTCCGATTCAACCGGCCAAAGTGTTCACTCACAGTAAATGTCAGTCAGCCAGCCAATGGGTTACAGAGAGAGGCCTGGAACATCGGCAGAGGTCGGTGCGGTCCGGCCCCGGGCTCCTTGATGACCTCACCTAAGAGGCGAGTCCCATGTGGAACGGACAGCCAAAACAAACAGCTTTCAGATGCGCTGGTTGGAGCCACACGTTGCACATGGACACGAGTGTGAACAGGCATCTGTTAGCAGGACTCCCCGGACCCTCTTTTGGATTGTTCACATCTACTGTCCATCCACAAGCATCGGGCCAATGCACACTGCGTGCAGGTAGTAGCTGTAGGGTTTACATTATTCCGCATTGTAATCTTTTATTTACATTAACGGAACACCACCTGCAAGTGGCTCAATCCCTGGATCCCTGTCTGTCAAGCCAGACGCAGCCCGGTGAGGCCACAGACGAATCAGACAAGCCAAACGTGATATTGATCGATGACCAGAACTGTTGCATTATTGCCAATGTGCAATCATTTTAGCTGGTCTTTTTACCCCTTATGTTGCCCAAGAAGAGTGCAACTAGAGGCTGGACCTTCTGGTGGTCGTCACCAGTCATGTAGTGAATGATTGGACAACAACGCAATAATGACAAAACCCTACATGAAGTACCATCAAGGTCATCTTAGGTGTCTGAGAATTAATGGTCATTTCTAGGAAACAGGAACATTTACAACTCACAAAAGTGCATAAATGACCACCAGCAAAGGGAGGGTTTTGAAGGGAAAGACAAGATTAAAAAGACAACTAAAGGGTTTGTCTCGAATGAAACTGTACTTCCTTCTACCTGTAAGACTCTGAGCTGTTCAAAATGCCAACCAACTGTCACAAGAGGATGAAATCAAAACTACGACAAGGAAAATGTAAAATTCAAGTCATTCTTCCGTCTTACGAAGCCCGTTGTGCGCATCAGGCTGGGAGGGACAACGTCTCTCTGTTCAGCAAAGTGCTCCCACTCCCCTTTTCCTGGATTTCAATGCCTTGGAAAAAGCTCTCATTTCATGAGTACAGTATTTCAAAACAGAAACTCAAACAAGTTTCAGCATGATTACCCCCCCCCCAAAAAAAAAAAGCAGAAAATGTTTCAACGTTTCCAATATTGGATGAGTTCACGGTGAGAGGGTGTCTGCATGTCTCCAGGACTCCTCCTGACCAATAACAATTGAGTTCGGACCAATGATGCAACCCCATCTGAAGCTAAAACCATTAAGTATAAGTACCCAGCTGGTGATCGATATCATCCACAGAGGTGCAGCTGTGAGTTAAGAACAGGCTGGTTACACAGAAGCCCAAATGTGAGATCTGAGTGCTAAAGGCTGACTGACGGTTAAGAGGTGACCTGTAAATGTGTGAACAGGGGTCGCATTGTTTGAGTCCTAACCCCTATGGTGGAAAAACAAGTAGCGCAAAAGATGGTGTGTGTGTGTGTGAGTGTGTATTAGCGTACAGCCAATCCAGAGCCATATAATCCGTGTGTTAGTTCTGTTGCGCGTCAATTCATGTATGCGAGTTAAGATCTGCGAGTGCGTGTTATGACAATTAGCCAGTGACATGGAATACGTGTACGCGTGCGGGACAGCTGGTACATTAAAACCAGCAGGTGCTGCAGTTTAGAGGCCCAGCGAGCCAACGCCGCCCGTGGTGGTGTGCATCGGATCCCGACCCGACCGGGCCTCCTCTAGGTGAGCTGGTGGGGGGCCTCCAGCATCTCCATCAGGAAGGTGTCGATGGGCGTGTCGCCAATCAGTTTGAAGAAGAACAGGTGCTCCAGACACTTTAGACCAATGGAGCGCAGCGCCGGGAGCCGGAGGAGGAGCTTCGCAAACCTGGACGACGGAGACGAGAGAAATGATCACATGGACCGAACATTCAGGAGACGGCGTCTCGCTCTCGTCCCGCTGCTCTGTGCTACGGTGCCATGTTTAATGTGGCCGTGTTATTCGTCAGAGCAGAAACCCACCTGCCCAGCTGATCGGGGTATTTCTGTTTGCAGTAGGACTCTAGAGACGCGTACACCCTCTCTCTCAGCAGCTCCACCTCGCTGGGGCTGGACAAACCCTTGGCATCTTCGTGTGGAAAAAGAGAACTTCTACGTTATCTGGATACAGGAATGAAACACTCGTTTTTCATTTCTAAATTGGTTGAATTTTCTAGACTTAATTGGTGTCCTTCGCCAGTCTTTCATAGTGATTTCCAACACGTCCACGTACCTGGGTTGAAGAGGATGATGGCTCGAAGGCAGCCGAGCTCCGTCTTGTCCATCTGCATGTCTCTCATCTTGCTTACCAGCTCCGTCAGAACCCTGCAGAGAGGAGAGGAGATTGGCGGAAGGGTATCCCGGTTGGAGAAAATTCCAGATTAATGAAGAGAAAGGAGACGAGAAAGAGGGAAAAAGAAATAGAGAGCGAGAAAGAAAGAAAAAACAAGAGGAAGAAAGATCGGAATAAGAGGGGCGAGAACAGAGAGGGTTCCAGACTCCTGGATCACGTTTTATACACGGTGACTAAACTAGACGGGCTCCTGCTTCTACAGGGGGAAAACAACAAAACACACAAAAAGCACTGGATCAACTGCTGCCACCTAATATTGGTAAGTTCTATCTTTTTTTCCATTCATTTTAATTCTGGATGTAATATGTTTACAATTTAATTAACAAGTTATTTGGAATTTAACGGTTTTCGCAAATGCTCAACAGTTCTATTATTAGTGCTGTGAAGGGCCAAATTATTCAAATATACCACGGCTGGAGGGTACAAACGTGCCACTATTTCCACCAGCTCTACCGATGACTCCAAGGAGAGGAGAGCAAAGGGCAAAGTTCAAGGAATAAACACGCATTATTCTTCGATTGCTAAAGCTCACTAAGCATTAGTGTTCATTACCTTTTAGGAAATGTCTCGTTCAAATAAAGTGGCCCATGAGGGTATAAATGCTCAAAGAATTGTGTCCAAACACATCTGAGCTAAAGTGAAAATAACAAAGTCAAAGCCAGAGCAGGGACGGGATTGGCCACTTGGGTGCAGTACTTTGAGCTATAAAAAGTCGAATGAAAATGAAATAATAGAGAAAAGTCTTGATGAATTGGAGTAAACGGGGGCTTCATTTAACAACAGTGAAACCGTATCAAACACCTGCTTCAAGTGTCATTCGTATTTGACACATGGATCACTGCTGAACGTCTACTTTAAACCCCTCTGGGTAAACGGGGGCTCTCTTTGGGAAGTAGAGATTCTTTGTTCACCATGGAGGCATGTGGGGAAACAAAGTTTGGATTTACAAATGTTCACTTCATCACTAAATGCCATACATTCATTTTTACACACGTCACAAATCTTGACACCTAAGAAAGTTTAAAAAAAAGCGGTTATTCAAGAGAAGACGCCAACTTACCAACCAATCCAGTTATTTCTAATGGAATAGTCACCGTGCATCATATATAGAATGTCCCTTTGGACTGAAGTAAAACGTAACCTGGTTTAATTAGTTGTTACAGGACATGGATGGAGGAGGGGAGGACTATGCAGACGTGAGTGATGAGGTCGGGGTGGTGATGTTTTTGCTACTCTGACATTGTCACAAACACCGCTCAAGGTCAGCATACAGTGTATTGATAGATGGCGTTCTTCTCTGCATTAATGGTGAGAAACGGGCACTTCCCATCAGACAAGAAGGCCAACTGCACCTTCAAAAGGTCCAAACGCTGTGAAAGAGCAGCGTCTAGTCCTAATAATGCCCACAGGTTTCACTCTGCTCATTATGGTCTGGCAAGGCGCAACAAGCATTTGGTTTTGGAACAAAGAGTTCGGTCGTTGGGGAAACGAAAAGTATCTCAGGCTGATTTCTAATTCAAAGTGCAGCGCTGCTCTGTCTCCATCATAATCATCATCTCAACCAAACCACGAAAGGTGTCAACTACGCTCAGTGGCCATTCAGACGGATATTTTGTAGGGAAAACAACGACTGACTCCTGCAGAGCTTCAACCTTTTAGCTTTGGTATCAAGAGGAGGGGTTTCAGAAAGGTGTTTGTGTAGAGGCGTAATTACCTGTCAAATATGGCCCCAACCTCGGCATTGTGCGCCCTGTGTATTCAATCACAATGTGTTATTACAATGTCATTACACAGTTACATTGTTATAACAAACTCTGACTTGTTCTCTGAGCCCTTTAGCTTTACAGACAGTCAGATCTTACATATGGTTTGACATAGTGACGATCTGTAGTGGTACAAAGTATTTGCTAATGTTATAGATGATTGAATGCAAAGGATCGTCCACAAAGTCTGAGTCTCATTTATCTGAGACACCTGCTCCCAAACACTGATATTTCTCTACGTGTACCTCTACTAAACATTTAATGACATTATGAACAGTATTCTTTCACAAGGCACCAACTATATTGACATGGATTCAAATAAGCAGAAAAGGAGGTTATGATAACTCATGAGCCAAATGCATTACAGCAGTAAACCATTAGTACACAATAAAGCGATTAACCAGGGGCCTCTAACTGGTGCTCCTCGCTCAGGGGTACTCAGATTTATATTTGTAAAGGGAAGAATGTGTATTGATGTATTGGTTTTATGATGGTACCTCCTGGTTTCCATTCATTTGGCTGTCCCTGTATCCGTCTATTAAGGGCAATCTTAGTGTGACACAGCCAATCAAAGTGTTGGCAGTGGAAGGGGTCACATGGAGCAACAACCAACGTCTCATTCTCGTCTCACTCACAAATGCAACAATTTTGTTTTTTACAACCTCCTTGAAAAATAGAATTCAGTTCCCTCAAACGGATGCAGAAGCAAGCTGAAACAAAAGTCTTGCAGCTAGAAGAGAGCAGTGCTAGGAGAACAGGAGCAGACAAACTGCAGAAAAACCTGACCCGATTCCTTGGAAAAACGAATCCTTTATAACAATGCAACTACTGTGTAATTGACACACTAAGTCGTTGAGATTTGTGATGACGTACGGAACAACGCCCCAATGGAAGCCCTGATAACGTAGGAAAAGCTGCATAATGCAACATACTTCCATTGTCACATCAACAAGCCTTTATTACACACTTATTAACTATCATGTTCTAAACAACCTCTACTATCAAATGTACAATCTCATGATTTAGTTAGCTCATTATTGGTTTATAGTGACACTTCACTTACATGCCGTTTCCCTTTGAAAGTAGCAATGGATGGCTGATGTAATCATACAGAAGGAGGGAGAGGCTGTATTCATGTTCATGTTTCGTCTTCTGGAGTCTTTGGAATACCTGTTTTAAGATCTCAAACTAACAGGTTGCTGAATAGGAATGTTAGCGCTGACTGTATACCTGCGGCCATTAATAAGGAAAACAGGGCTGGCCAATATATTGATATTAGTTATCATCCTTAATGTAGCAGATGGTAGCGATCCAAACTCGCCTGTTCTTGCTGTTTCATTAGTTCCCTTGAGCCACTTGGTCTTAAGATCGACATTACTGATTAAAATATGTACATTGTTGTGACCTTGGATCATCGTTTGGTCAGCAGAAAAGAAGATGCAACCCAAGAATACATTCCCAAGGCCTCCACAACATTCTGCACAATAATGGGATGTAAACATCAACATGGGATGTTTACATCAATGTAATTATTGGTATTTGAATGATATAATAGTTAGCATCGTACTTCCGCCAGCCATTGGTGGTTTGTGTGCGCTCATGCATGCCTCTGGGTACGCATTAGTCACCAGCCTGACCCGGCATGCGGTTTCTCTACAAGCAGAACAAAAGAAGGCTCTCAGCCAATCACTGCCAACGCAGAACACGGCAGCTGTAGCCAAAGATGAGTTCTCCTAAATTCTTTCCCCAGACATTAATCCAGCTACGCCTGAACAAATCATGTGTACAAGTACGACTTCTGTCTTCATTCTTAGGACTGAGGCTGAGGGTTTGCCAGGTGAAGTCATGAGGGGACTGATGATGTTCAGGGTCACATATTTTAGGCTAAAACTAAGTGGTCCTAATCCAGTGTAGAACAGGCCAGATCTAATAGAAAAGTCTGAAAAAAGCACTTGTATCGTTTTGGTGGCATGTCCTCATGTTGGGTCGCCTTAACATCTGGGGAAATATCCTGGTGTTGTACATCAGTCAGAAAGACATGCTTTGCTCAGATGTGTGTTACCTGTCAAAGATTGCTCCAACGCCGGCGCTGTGGGCGCTGTTCCTGTGCACATGCAGGCCGGTGGCCAGTAGGATCCCATCCTTCACAGAGATGGAGCGATGGGAAAAGGATGCGATCAGCAGTTCATTCCAGCCTGTTGGAGAGGGAGTGTTTTATTGTGAATTCAGCCAGTTGGGGTGTTTTGCATTTCTTTGCACCTGATAAGAATGTGAATGGTCTCGGTCCTCAATGAGCAAATTGAAAAGCTCTATTATTTTTGGAACAATCGACCCTTAACTTAGAATCTTCTGTACCAGCTGACGCTTCATCAACAGATTTGATATCAAACCCTCTTTATCATTTCCTTTTTTCCAAATATATCTTAAAGATATTTATAAGATTGAGGACCCTATTTCCATTTCTATGTGGAAAAGGGGGGGAAATCTCTCGGCCAGATTGCAAGACAGAATGAATAAAAAAAGACTCAAAATACAGGACAATTTGGAATCCGGCAGCCGCTGTGGCAGAAGCAGACGTTTCACCAGACGTACCTGCGCGTAGCAGGATGACCTGGTCGTCCAGGGTCAGCTCGGAGAAGTGCGGGATCCTCTTGGCCCACTCCACCAGGGTGAAGAGCTGCTTGTCAGCGGCCTGACAGATGTTGGTCACCGGATCGTTGGGCTAAACAAAGCAGAATTAGAGGTTTGTAAAGAGACCTTGTGTCATTCAAATGAGCCCAATGTCAGGGACCAGGTTGACTACTCACAGAGCTGCCACCTGAACCTCCGTCTGCGTGAAGCTCCGTCTTCTGCTCCACAGCCACCTCCGCTTCCAAAATCTTCTCCACGGGCATCTCCTCGTTCACCACACTTGTTGACTCCACCTCGCCCTCTCGCTCCCTGTTCCTCTGGCGCTCTTCTTGGACAGCTGCAGGACGGGGCGGGGGAGAGGAGCACAGGAGAAAAACAATGAAGGACAGGAAAAGGGGAGGACGAGAGAAAGAGGAAGAGCAGCAAAAAAGGAGAAAATGGGTGTGGGAAGGATGTGAGAAAGAAGGACAAACACAATGGAGAAGCAGGGAAGGTGCAAGAGCAGACAAAAGGACAATTTACCGAAGCAAAGGGCTTGGACGGGCAACCCATGGGAGTGATCATAGGACATCATTGAGGACGAGGAACACACGGCAAAAGAAGGGGAGGAGAGAACGACGAGGAGCAACACAACAGATCAAGTGAGACAGTTGCAGATAAACAGATGAATCAAGAGGAGATATGAGGGGGACAGAGGATGGCATAAAACAGGTAATAAAGTTAAACAAAAGAGAAAAATAAAAGTGTAGAAATAATGAATGTGACAAAATAGAAAGTATAGAAACACAATTCCTGATAATTCCAGTCTCTCATTCCGTCTTTCATACTTCTTTATGGCTCCCAATGGCGAGCCGTGAATGGACAGAAGAGGATATTATTTACTCCCTAGTTCGCAGTATGACTGAGCAGGCATTATGCCCAGATTCAATTTGAGGACAAATCTTTTTATCCTCAAAGAAAATCCACATTTATTTTAAGATCTTACCCTGATTAAGAACAAGCAGGTTTCTTGCTTTCAGCAAGTTCAACAAATGTGGTCAGACGTCGACTTTAAGTTTTCAGCGGCTGTGGTCAAAAAACTGGAAATGTGGGCCTACTAACAAATGGACTAAAACGTATAGAGATTTGGACGTTATCTTTGCTGCGGTCTAGTACAGAGGTTATTTGAAAACAATCTAATGATAAGGAAATGCATTTGAGTTTTTTATTTAAATGTTTGCTTTGATCAAACATTTTCAGAGGAAAATATTCCATCATAAGCTGCTTAGAGTCAACACATCATAACTCCTTCTCCCATACGGATGTTTTGATGCTGGAGTTTCTCTACAAAAGCAATAAATGCAAGAATCCTTTTTTCACCAAATACAAATGTGAGCAGTCAGACATCAAAGCGGAGAGCTGCCCAACACAACAGTGTCAACAGGTACGGATGGAGCTGCGCTCCGTGTGTTTGGGTCATTTCTCGGAGAGCAACGTGAGCTTATGATTCAAATACACCAAACAGAACACAAATTGTTTATCGTTTTCTACTTTTAAATGATGTCTTCTGTTATTGCTCTGTGTTTATTGTCTTCAACCAATCACCAACCCAAGTTCCTTGCATGTGTAACGTGGTTCTCATTAAGACGTTTCTGTTTCAAGCCCTTTTCATCCTTACTCATTAAAGTGTCTGGAAACAGGTTAAAGAAAGCTGTTTTAGTCTGAATGTCATGCAATGGAATCTTCATGTTATCACCATCAGTCTGCATTGGTCACTGTGTTCGTGCTGCATACATAACTAGTAAAGACTTTTGCCACATTTTGAGGAGCCGGCACTTTGAAAGCCAAAGCTTTCCTGAAACTATTTGCGTGGGCGTTTTCCAAAGACAAATCTAAAATATCTCAAAGACGGGAGTTAAGCTTGGGTCAGGACTTGGACCCGACTGGGGTGGGAATAAACCACAGGAAGCTTTGCAGTAAAGTAGCATGAGGAGGATGAGCAGTGCAGACTCCTTCCCTGGACCTATGAAGGTGTGAAACAGACATGGGGGAGTGATTGGAGGCGTGCCCTGGTCCACCTCTGGCCACTGGCAACACACTATGGAACAACATTTTAAAGGAGCTCTTTCTCATCCATATGCAGTGTAATATCTATGTGTGGTTGCTCACTCATGCAGACAGACACACACCCCTCCCTCCCTCTTCTCCTTACATCTGTCGTTCATCTTGGCCACTACAGAAGGAGGGATGGGGGGAGAGAGAACGAGAGGAAACAAAAAGAGGAAGAGAGGGGGAAAGGGGGTTAGTGTTTACAAGGCTTACCCACCCCCATCTCCCTCTCTACAACCATGTGCTCGTTCTGTCCATCTCCTTTTGTACCAATAGTGATGAACTCTCCTCGTTCAAATTCACACTGCTACATTTACTGCTATTCATAGATTGGGTGTAATATCTTTTGTAAAAGCCGGGTTTGGTAGTCTTCTTCAAAAAACATTGATATTTTTGTTAGAATTCTCCCGGCATCCTGACAGCAATCGGAAAATCAAATGATCTGATAGAAAAAGAACAACATGTGGGATCTGTGGTTGCTGCAGGACGGTTAAATTGTTCACTCTACCTGCCCGTCCACTTCCACAAGGTGCTCCTTTGACTGCTGTGAGGAGCAAACGTAGCCGTGTTTGTAGCATCACCTTTGCTGTGACGTTGTTGGGAGAATGGCTTTGGAGAGGCCTGAGGGGACGGAGGGTCGGTGTTGACTTCTTGGGTCCCGATTAGCAACACTGGACTGGACTTTTTGTTTACATGTAGGTTTCACTCTCTGGTTCCTAGATTACCAACCTTAGCTTTAAGGTGTGAAAAAGTGAGCTTTAGATTTATAGAAAGGGGCTCCCACAAAAAGCAGCTGACTTGAATGTCCCTTTCAACTGCATTGACTTAAAACTCCATGACTACCGTGACCACACATCTCAACAACTCATCCAACACTGACTGATTCATCGTCCCGCTAAAAGAAAGAAGCATCGCAGTGTGCTGTCCTTGTAACGTATAGAATTATATAAAGCACTGTACACAGTGTAGGGAGCTCTCACCTACACTGACCTACTCAACAGTCACTAGTATCAGTGCTTTACTTAGAGATGATGGTGTAGTAAACTCAGGCCATTTCCAGAAGGTGATAAGTTTGAAGTTGAATTTCAAACATACCGGAACTGCAGTAGAAAAGGCAACACTTAAAAGTGTGGGTTATGCTTTTCATCCAACTATATTAAATCAAGGAATCACATAACCGCTCAGCCAATGCACTTCACAAATCGGACGGCACATTGCTGGGGACTGGACGTAAAGGAGAGCAAATGTGCTTCTGTTCAAACTGGTCTTCACGCCCCTGGAGGCAACGAGAGCGCATCAACAGCTGGAAACACAATCAAACAACATTTGGGTTCTTCCTGTGCAAGACATCATCAGCGCATTTACCTTTGACAGTAATGTGACTGTTACAGACTTGAAAATAGCACAGCTAATTACAGCCATGTTCTTCTGTATAACACAGACTATGCGGCCAAATAGGCAAGTGAAAAGCGACGTGTATTTCACGGCGTATCAGTGAGTTGGGTTTGTGCTTCAGAGACAAATGGATTGATCTGGGGGGGCCGGGCAAACCCCACCTTGCTTTTCTTTCCTCCCCGTTCAGGTCGGTGCTGGCAGTGGTACAAGGCTGCCTACTCCAATCTTTTCTCAAGTTTCTATTAATAGTAGTACTACAATGTATTCATTTCAAGTAGAAGTACACAGCTGGTAGAATAAAGTTGAGTTGCAAATATGGAAGCGCATTGCAAGCCTTTTCTAAAGTTATTTCTTAAGAGTAGAGCGAGTTAGAATAGGAATAAAACGTTGTCTATTTGGGGCCCTGGTTGCCGTCCTTACCTTTGTGGTTTATGTTTAACTCTGAATCACCATCGATTTATTAGAGAGAGACTCAAGAGCAAAAAGAGTCTGAAATGTCACACAGAAACCACGATTTAAAACAAAACAAGGGCCCAGAGAAGATTCTATACAAAAGAGACTCCAGTGGTTACAGAACACTGAAGGACACACTAGTTGAGTTCTGGAGCAAAAGACGGCCGCTGCTTCTTTAACACATCTGGAGGAGCCTTTGGGGAGGGAGACCTTTCGTATGGTGTCGAGCATTGAAATGTTTGGTTTGAACCGTCCAGCTGGAAGCCGCTGTTTTGTCAGCCCAAAGCCAACTTGGCAAAACTTTTCTTTTGATGTTTGTTCAGATAAGGTTGCACGGTGGGCTCTTTATTAGTGGTGTCCGTTTCACTCACCAAACATGCACGATGTGAAGGAAACTATTCTGTTGCAGCTGCAGCGACACAGATACTACCCGATAAATCCACATCATCAGTGATGATCAGCTACTGATTGAAATTCTTGAACCAGATTCAGACGATCACACACTATACGAGGTTCTGATCCATCAGCTCAATCGAAAGCTTTCTGACAAACTATTGTCTTGAAATATTTTCAAAACATAAACTGTCTTTAAAATACAAATTGTTGGTGTGACAATGGCCATCTAATGCATTTAAACCTAAAATAGTGTGTGTTGGATGGCGAAAGGGCCCCTTTGAGGGGTCGACTGGCATTGAACCCAGCCACCTACAGGGTGTGCTGACGGGCCCCTGCCTGCTCACCTTCTCTCTTCATGCCCATGGCCAGGCACTTCTGGTAGCGGCAGTACTGGCAGCGGTTCCTCTGTCTCTTGTCCACCATACAGTCTTTATTGTCCCGACAGGTGTAGGTCAAGTCTTTGCGCACTGTGCGCTTGAAGAAGCCTTTACAGCCCTCACAGCTGTACACGCCGTAGTGCTTACCTGGAAGGAGAAAAGACGTAAGACAAGAGGAAAGACAATTTGTTGGAAATGGCAAAAATCAAGTGTTTAAGGGTCTCAAGGTTTCCTAAATTGTTTAGTTTAGCCCCAAATCTAAGGGAAGGTACAGAAAAGAGTTTTATTGAAGGTGGATAGTCACCAGAAGATCGGTCTCCACAGATGGAACAAAGGCGCTTCTGGGACAGCATGGGCCCCGGGCTGTGGGACGACAGCTGCTTCAGGCCCAACGGAGGTTTCACGTCATCGGAGCTGCTCACGGCGTGAAGCCCCGACATGGACACTGTTGAGTTGATCTGTGAGAACGACAAAAGGAGAAGCTACAAACGATGATGCGCCGTTTTCACTTTGAGGAAAACTTCTGTAATAATGTAAAGTACACAAAGAAACCATCAGAGTGAGAGGTAAGAGAGTTGCACCCGTTTCTACTATTTCTTTGGTTCATCCTTTTTAGTCTTAAGAAAAAAAACACAAGACAACTACTTTTTTTTAGCAGAAGTTGCTAATTGTCACCCAACAATCAGGATGATCTTAGATCTTAGGAAAGTTTTGCTTTGCATCTTTTCAGATGTTGATTTCTATTTCCTGCTGTAATTGAAATGGCCATTAGGATTTACATATATGCATGTAAAAGTGCTAATGCACATTTATAGGTGTAGAAAAATCTCAAATTGACCTGTGATAGAACAGGAAAGCAACCGCATGGAAAGTCAACTCATCCTGAAGGAAAGCAACGTCCCTTACCTGCGGGCTGCTGATGGGGCCGTAGCCCACTGATGGCGTGCCAGGTAGGCAGGGCGAGCCCAGTGAAGAGCTGATGACAGAAAAGGGGGAACCGATGCTACTAATGGGGCTGTTGACCCGAGAGGTGGTGATGGGAGGCAGCGAGGTCATGGAAGCTGCAGCTGAGGGACCCAGCGGAGGCGAGCGCTGCCCCGAGGGAGGGGAGGAGACAGACGAACTGTCTGGACTGTGGGAATCTGAGACGGCGGGAAGGAGAACGGCAAAGGAATGTTTCATTAATAACAGAAATGCATTGCAAAAATGGCTGTGCTTACCAGTAGGAGGTGATACAGTGTTGAATTGAATGTATTCTCATACTTAAATAGATTAAAGCTGATAGTCACATTTGGAAATATATGGAGCTTTTCTTCGTTAAGATTACAAAAAATATTAGTAGCCTGGACTTTGCTGCTGGATGTTTTATTTTCACCAAGAAAAACTGTTGGTATCCCAGCAATGCAGTAAAATGTGCTTTGCTTCTGGAGGAACACTGTGTGGTACCTCAAAAAACAGCACTGCACTCCTCCGTGAAGGGAAACATGTGGTTGAATAGTTATGCTCGACACTTCTCAGGATTTATCAGCTGTCACACAGCAACCGAGAGAAAAAAGATACACTTCCTAGAAAACTTTTTTAGCTCGGTGACTAAAAATCTAGTGGACTTTTGATCTGTATTTGTGGTGCAAATAGTTGTATCTCTTTATTTTTGTTTACCGTGGGGTTCAAATTGTCTGGGCTTTGCAGCTGGCTACGACTGCATCGCCACGGCCTCGCGGTGTGAACTTGTTCTTCATCTTCTCTAATCTATCTTTCTGGCCTCAAACACACTGTAAAGAACTCAACCGATCATATGATCACATAACTCACCTGCTCATCGAAAACAGTGCTTGCACAACAATGTAAACACTGAACAGGTCAACAAACACAACAAAACCTGCTTTAAAATACTGAGAATATTTTCCCCCAACATTATGGATTTTAGTGTTCTCAAGCCTCCTGTCAATGTCTGACAGTGGTACAACTCCAACTCACAAATTTCAAAGCGCAAACATAGTAAACCCAAGAGTGTTCCACGGCTTGTCTGCTGTAGGAATAGAGGTCCAGAAAGCATTGGAGCTGCACGTTATCAGCGTTCCACTGATACATTGCTCTTGTCTTTACGGTTTCGGATAAAGGTGAATGAACAGAGGGCCAAATAGTAAACTCTATGGACTTTTCAGAGCACAACAACCTTTTGGTAACAAACCTTACCAAGAGCGTCATAATAATCCAGCACCAAAATGCCCTTCGCTTTGAACAAATAGGGAGATTTTGGAGGACTGACCCTGTGAAGAGTTTGTTCAAGAGGTTTGCACACTGGAGCACAGGGCATGAGTCATCTGTGTCAGCTGGAAGGCATGTGTTTTAGAAACCTCTAATATTTATTAATACACAAGTGAGTCGTCACCAGAACCCATTTAATAAACGTGAATTTACAGTGAGTACAATTTGTACAGCTGTAGCTGGTATCAACATTGGATTTTGAAAGCATTAATTTATTCATGCGTTTGCATGGCTGATGACAAACCCGCTCAGCACGCAGTCACTCTCTCACCTCTACTGTCTCCCATGATGGTGGTCAGGCAACAGCGGCTGGCCGACAGCTACAAACCGAGCTACCTCCGTATCAAACGGCCCGCTGTAGAACTCTAGACCGCGGACTGAGGCCCGGGCCCGAGTTGTTTTAGGAAACCAAAAACGGGTCTGAAACACAATAGACATTTGGTGATACAATTGAAAAACAAGGCTAGTAGCCCCCAGTCTACTGCATCGTTAAGAGCGCTCTGTGTGCTTGTCATTGCAAATATTGACACACTTACTGCTGTCTTTCGTGCATTTTTGGCATTTGATGTAACGTTAGCTAACGTTATCGTTCAGACAGGTCTTCGCAAAGCAATCAGCTGCTAAACCGATGCATGGGAACATTTTGTTGTATTCATTAATAAATACTTAACATTGGTATACAAAAAACGACTATGTTGACCGGTTTCAACGTAGTGCTGAATACGTCCTATTCCACTATGTAACCTAATTAGACGGTACCCTGACGGATGGAAGCATAACTACTGTTCTAGCAAGCTAACGCGAGCCATTGCATAGCTCATAAACTAACTTAGCTAACGCTGCTAGCTGACCAGCAAGAGGTCTGTGCCTACAGTAAAGCTAACGTTAAGTACCTTGAGCTAGCTAACTTACCCCGCTTGAATAACCGTACACACAAAGTTATTATCGCATATATCGGCACGATATTTAATACAACGAGCTCCTAACGGTACATTTAGTTTAGCACGAAACTTTGTCTGGGTTCAGTTGCCAAAACAACCCGAGCGCTATAACGTTAGCTCGCTATATTTAGCCACCTATGCTAGCTAGCATGCCAGTCCGCCCGAACGCAGCGGCAGAGAGCCACGCAGACCCGTTTAGAACCGGCTGCTCCAGCTGTGCGTATTTCTGCTAGATGCAGCTTACCTACATATTGTAAATATATATTAAGAAAAAACAAATAGGGTTTACTGACTGTTTAGCGGCGCAGCTTCTTCGCATGAAAAGATGTGGCGACTAGGCCCGGGGTGTGTGTGCTTCTCCCCCCACTTTGCCTCGTAGTCAAACCTCCCTCCCCCTGCAAAGATGAAAACACGATGATGGTGGAGGATTTGGCATAAGGCTCTGTTACACTTGAACATTGGCTCAGAATCATCACAGTACAGTTAAGCCTTCGTCAGGGGTTGTGTTCGTGTTCATGTTGCCTCTCACACATCAGCGGGGCATCTAGTGCATGAGGTCAAAAGGTCAAGACAAGTTCACTGAGTCATTTGCAGAAAAGGTTACTGGAGAGCTCCGATGTTTGTGCTGTGATGGAAGATATGACCTTTCTTTATCTTACTTTGAATCAATTATACAAATATGTTTAATCCAAAAGCCATACTATCACTGCATTGGGTTCATACATCGGATATACAATGCATATACAAGTATTCACCCCTCTTGGATGTTTTCCCTTTTGTTGCTTTTATACATGAAATCGTGGGCATTACAATCAGGCTTTTTCTAACGCTAATTTTGCAAAGAGTGATTGTTTCATGTCAAAGTTAAAACAGATTTTTACAGACTAATATAAACTGACAAAATATGTATTATAAAATGAGTGACTGACCTAATTCACCAGCTAGTTGATGCCAGCAGGGTCCCAAATAGTGAAGTGGAGATCACTTGAGTGAAGTTGTTGTAGTACAAAAACCCCTGTGTCTGTAAGGTTCAGTCTGGTAGCAGTCTACAGTACGTCTTAATCCAATGGAGAATTTGTGGCTAGACAGCTTTTTCTCCGACCATATATATTATATAATCCATGATAGTTGATTATTGATTATGGAGAAGACCAATTTTAATATGGATTACAATAAAAATCTAAAACACAAGGATATTTTTGAGTTTGTTCTACGTCACCTGTGTTGTACACACACTGCCGTGATCATGTGATCTGTGACTGTGTTCACTGTTTATCGTTTCAAACATCTCTAACAGACGAAAAACAAGATAAGTGAGTTTGTGAGCATGACATTTTTCGTGATGGAGGTTGCTAATGCCTCCTTGTTGTGGTCGGAGCCCCCAGCAGATAGCTGCTGCTTTATCTCCCTCAAGGGGGCTTGAATGGCATTACACAAAACACAAGCACCCCCATTTTAGGAGAATTCTGATCCTTTTTCATTTAATTCCACAATTATATCTTTAAAATGTATCTTATATCTTGTATGTAATGTATCTAATATTTCAGTTCTCTGAGATATTTAGCTTTATATTCTACAAGCTACTTTACAAATAGATTTTTGTGTACACTTTGCATTCCACGCAGCCATTGTTTCCCATTCATTTTATCACATAAAAATTTGTCGTATTCACTTTTGTTTTCATTTGGTCAAAGTTGCATCCTTATTTAAGTTTGATTGCAATGAAGAATAATCAGTTAATCATAATCTGTTTACCAAATTCTGAGTAATTCTCATAATGAGGGGGAGGTTTTTTCTTTTACATTATGATAACAATCCAGAATCAAAGCAATTGAGGTTGCGAGGAACTTAATAAAATGATCTATCCTAACAATTGACATCTTTAACCCAACCAACTTTTGTTCTTAGCAAGAGTTTAAAAAGTAAAAATTCCTTTTTAATGTGGCAGAGAAAGCTTTGTCCTGAAAGAAAGTGAGCCAATCAGCTGTAGAGGAAGAAACAGACCAAGGCGCCAAAACAGCTTTTTAAGTTTATTTTATGACTCTACATTTGATTCATTCATTGCATCATTTTGACCTACAATATGACAACAACTCACACACACACACACACACACACACACACACACACACACACACTCAGTAGATAACATAACATGGTAATTATAGGGAGTTAATGACACGCTATATTTTAAATAAATCATTGAGTATCGAGCGTCCTTTCAATACATACAAAGCAAATTCTCCCAAACTCTAATTATTCAACCAGCTCAGCAGTTTGTCCTCAGGCACTTTGTATCTTTCCGGCTGATCATACCTAACTACATTTGATGTTAAGTTATATTGGATCAAGTCAAGTGAAACAAGTAGCCAGTTTGATTGTGGAAACGGGGGGATTCTATCTGACCCGATTGATTCTTTGATGTGTTGGTCTGTTTGGAATCGTCCTCCTGCTGTATTCTCATCACATTGTGGTCCATCTGTTAAAAAAGGGACGTAATTCCCGCACTAATCTCACACTCAGTGTTTCACTTCAAATCCAATGAGCTGGAATACAGAGACAAAAAATATGCCACTGTCCAAATATTTTAACGCGCTCGGTGTGTGTGTGTGTGTGTGTGTGTGTGTGTGTGTGTGTGGGAGTGCTGCGTGGGGGGTTAGCCTCAGTGTGTGTTCACCAGTGATTAGCCTGGTCAGTGGGCCTGTTGTGCATTCACCCACACCATTAGCATATTAATGCAGCCGCGCTCTTGATCTCCCTCCTGCTCTCTCTCTCTCTCCCCCTCTTTCTCTCTATCTGTCTCTTCCCCTATACATATTTCCCAGGACAAGTTGCTGCTTCCTGCAGTTTCAACCTACAAATATTACCCATTTAGGGTCCTCGTGCTGTGAAGCAGCAGACTGCCACACAAGTTTCTTTTCCCTCCAAAATCTCCTCTTGTCCCCCTCTCTCACATCTCTCTCTCTCTCTCTCTCTTTGTCAGATCTTTGCCTTCTTTTTCATCTCCCTCACCGTCTCTCCCCCTCGCCCCTCATTCAAATCCTTCACTTTCTCTCATTTTCCCCTTTCTCTCTCCAAGTCTGGCCTCCTGACCTTTGTCAAACACAGGAGGACAAACGCACACTCATTTTCACAGAGGCAAACACAGAGAGGATAAGCACACACACACACACACACACACACACACACACACACACACACACACACACACACACACACACACACACAGAGACACACACCTCCCTCCCCTCATTCACCCTTCTGTCACTCTCACCCTTTCCATTGCAAGTCTAGCAGGCCGCTCTGTAGGCGCTGGTGCTGAAGTGACTGTACTTCACGCGGCGGGAGCTTTCTGCTCCCCAACCAGCTCCCAAACGGGACTGTCCATGGTTCTGCATGCGCAGTAGACATTTGGGTCGTTTACATCTAAACATTGACTTCCTCTTCACTGTCTAATTGGCTGCTGTCCACCGGTCGCTGCTGTTCGGTGCCATTACTTCTCAAATCAGCTCTGGTGGAGGACAATGTCCAAAGCTCTTCACACCCAAGTGGACCACCAGATGAGAAATGACTGTTTGCTCGACATCTTGTGATTCAACTTAAAAGCTTTAAGCTAAAATATTTTACAGTCTAAACTTAAAACAATTCCAGCCTGCGTTGTCGGGAGAAGCTCACATTTACATGAACACACACTTTCCCTGATTCAATGTCTCCCGCTCATCCCCCCTGTCTACGGTTGTCCGTCCCTCGTTGATATTCAGAGGTCAGGGGCGTGATGTCCATCCACAACTCCTGGTTTCACAAAGGCAGACGCAAGAATTGCGTTTGGACAATCAGCTCCGGACCTCCGTCCGTCTCCTGTTCAACGGCGCGTGTCCATACTCACGCACACTCAAAGGGTCGACAGCTGCCCATTCAAAGTTGCCGAAGTGAATTCGGCTTCGATTCCCTAAAGCCAGAGAGGGAACAGCGTGTCAATCCTAATAATAAGTTCAGCACGTTTCACCCGCGCTCGCCTCATGTCAGCCGCCTGCTTGGGACAAGGAGGAAAGGACGGTCGGTTAGGAACAGAGGAATGAGCGGGAAGGCCCGGAGAGAGAGAGTGAAGAGAAAAGAGAGAGGGAGAAAGCTCTAACTCATGCTTGTCCTCTTGTGTGGGTGACACCATGATAAACGAAGGGGTCACCACCCGGGGGCAGGCCCGTCCAAAAGGAGCCTGCAATGTGACCCTGTACAAAGGAAGAAGTGGGTCCCCCAACGGTCACACAGATCAAAGGAGACAAAAGCCTGAGATGATAACTCAGCGCAGCGGTAGAGCACATTATCATCAGACACATGAGGTGCAGTGGTAGCAAATTGAACTGAGTTGGAAGCAGGAGGAGGAAAAAACTGAAACAAAACGAAAACGAAAAAGGAAAGCTCTGACTCGCCCTAATCTCATTTGCTGTATGGAACATTTTCTCTTTATCTGATTCTCACCGTGAGGTGTTTTCTCTTTCCGTGGGAGCCTGTCTTTATCCCAATGATGTGGTCTTTGGTGAAGCCTGGCCTATTCATGGGAACCCCATGTGCTGCGTGCCCACCATTGAGGTGCAGAGCAGCATGGCCACAAAGGATGGCAGCGTCTCACAGAGTCCTCTCCTTACATTTAAAGTCTCAGAACAAAGTTTACCCTCAAATCACAGCGCCAGAAGACCTGCGACACATTTAAAAAGGGAAGAGGAAAAAGCCTTTAAAGTGTGTGTTTGTATTCACATAGTAAAATATTTGATCAACCTCTATGGAAATAAATACTTTTCGGTCATAAATGACTAAAAGACATTGATTGATCAAACTTTTTTTTGATAGTTACAGTAAAAATGTATTAAAATTGTGTATTCTATTTGATCTTTTTCAACAAAAATAGTTTTTCCTGTTAAAAACTATTTAAAAGGCAGTGGACCGAAAAGAGGCCGAAACTTATTTGGTTTACACTTGTGTGTTGCTCCTGCTACCACCGGACCACTTCACAGAAATACCTGTACTGTTTAAAAGGTGTAATACCTAAATCCACAGCTGTTAATATCACCTCAAAGCAAATAAAATAAAAATAGAAAAATACAAGAAGCCAAAGCGCAGTGGTGCCCTGTGTTTGGACCCTGTGGGGCCAAAAATCTAAATCACAAATGCCTTGCAGAAAGCTGGCGATAAGACGCAGCGAGATTCATCCTTACATGTGTGATGGACATCATTCCCTCATCCTTCCTCCATTGATTCCGGGTCCAGTTTGCGTTGGTTGTCGACGTCTGACCACACTTGTCCTGCTGCTCCATCTTTCACTCTCCGTGCCTTTGCCTCCTCTGATCCTGCACCCTTCTCCCTCTTCTTCTTCTATCCTTTTTGTGCAGACCTCCCTCTGCCTTTACATTTCCTTCGCCCTCTCTCTCTCTCTCTCTCAGTTTCCCCGCCCTCTCTCTCTCTCTTTCTCTTATTCCCTGTCTCTCTTCCTCTCCTCATTTCATGCAGCGCTGGGGTTACCTAAGAGACTGGGCCTCAATAGAGAAAATCTCCTTGGGTACAATGAACTGGGCGAGAAGCAGTGGGGAGGTGGAGAAAAGGGGGGTAGTGAAGGATGAAGGGTGTTGGACACAGGAGGGGTGAGGGAGGGAGGGAGGGAAACTAGAGGGAGTGTGCACATGCACGCAAGGAAGGGATACGAAATCTCCAAATGTGGAATAAGTGGCTTTGCTTGTGTGATTTGGCCTCAACGGTCAAATACCCCCCCCCCTCTACCCCCCTCCCTCTCCCTTCACCTGCTCCCCAGTCAGCCCAGTTGGTTTATCAAAATAATACGACCACACATTCCAAGTAAACATTTGGTATGGAACGACCTCAAGAAG